AACATGATTAATTGAGAGTTTTACTACCTTTGGTGATGGTTTCAAACTATTTTTTACTTTCCTAAATCACAAAGTAGGTCGCGCATCTGGCGATATTTCAGATAAGGAGCATCTCACAAAATTTACCAAAATATGAGTCCTGTCCAGGATATTTTACCATTGAAATGAAAACAGTAAACCACACTATGTTACATCCTGCTGACCTTATTTTTCACAACGAACGTATATATTTTATATACATGCTAGATTTTTAGGCATTCATTTGTTTAATTCCATTCGCAGGTTAAAGCCATTAAGAGGTTTTCTAACCTTGTACTAATTACACAGTCTCAATACTATTTTTTGCCTAGCATGTAATAAAATGCGATTTACAACTGATTATTATCCTTTTCGTTAGGGTTATTTAGCCGTTACTGGTCTACTTCTTTTTATTTTATTATATTACACATTTTATATTATGACGGATATAAAGTTTAGGCTTTAGAGCACTCACCTTAGGGATTCTTGATGGAAATGACAGGAATTGTACCGTCAGAGGAGTTAAGCGGATGCGCCTCCTCAAACTTTTACTGTTTTCTTATATCATGCTAATCCCTCACCCGAGCCTTCTATAATATGCAACTTTCCGGATGCTATAACTCATAGGTGCTCTCATTTTTATTGCAAATCCTTTATATCTTTCTCTATTCTTTCTCTGTCTCTATCTGCTTCTACACGCACTAGCTTATCATTATTTCTCTACCGATCTTATTTTACTTGGCACTATTCACATCTTCTCTCTTGAGAAAGTTCTGCGCCTTCTCGCCTCTTTTATTCTTGATACTTCGCGTTTTCGTTATCCTTAGGCCTGCACTGATTAGCTTTCAGATCCATTACTTGAGATGCATTCGCATTTGTTCGATCTGTGTAGATTCTATCTGAGTGTACCTAACTTGGCGGCCACATCGTTCTGCCAGTTTCTGATTAAATGGCTACTGCGCATCACTATTTTATCATCGTGACTTCATGCTGCCTTTATTCTTTCCTTCAAGCCGCTTTGTCTAATTGATTTGATACTCAAAATTCGATTATAAGAAGGAAAAAGTTAAAAAAAGTTAACGCAATATTTATTTTCTTTCAAATAAGTCTAGGTTTATATATTCGTGTATATCTATGTTTATACACACATTGCTTAGGGGTTGGAAGGGTGGTCATCTGCCTGGCTTTCACGCTGTTTTTCTGTCTCAGGCTGTCATAGTTTGCTTGAGTACAGAATTGTCTAACAATCAAATAGATTAGCACGCATGAGCATCCATATCGCACACGTCATTTGTCTGATCCGCATCCTACTCAAAGGTTGTCAAACTCCATATGCATCTGATCTTGTAAAACATTTTAAAGGTGGCTTGGAAGTTGATGAAGCCTTGGAGGTAGCACAGAGGATGGAGAGATGGAGGGCTTGAGGTACTCAAAACTGTCGGAGGTGAAGCATGCTGGAAGACGAGGTATGGTGGCTTTTTGGTGGAAAAATTTTACTGGGATGTTCTGTCACCAGAGTGTCAGCTGGTGCTCGGTTTAAAATGAAGATGGGCGAATAAAGTATGTGTATCTATCGGATTGTGGCAAATGACGAAGGGTTGTTCGTTGTGAGCTATTATCTTAACTTGATTAATAATCTACTTTACTTCAGTCTCAGACAGGCCAGACATGCCATCCTTTAAAGCATAGCTATATATTTTTTCTTTCATTCTCTTTTATTTCCTATCTTCCTATCAAGCGTGTTAATCCTTTCATTCTGCTGTCTTCACATCGCCTTTATGGTTTTGATGTGTTCGGAAGCTTTCTGGTCTTTTACACCTATTTTAGCTTTGCTCGTTGTCACTTAGAGTTCCAACTGATTGTATTTATTCTAAAATTGCAGGTATATCATCTCCTCTAACATTTTCCGTCCATATCCTCTTCTCTATGAGCTCCCAAAGCATGTGGTGAACTAGATTCTATCAGGATTTTGCGCACGCAAACACACACACGCATACATACATATAAACACACCACATTTTCATTCGTGCGGGGCATACTAAAAGTGACACTTGCAACTAAGATTGATTTGCTGATGTTGGTCACACTAAGATAGCGAGCTAACAGCAGCATCGGTTGGCACAGCAGTTGTAGTTCTGCCCACAGCCGTAACAGTTGTCTGTCGCTCCACTGCAGCACTCCTCGAAGTCTTCGCAGTCGCAGTAGTCCACCCACTCCAGATGGTAGATGTACTTTTTAAGGCAACGTTTCCTCTTACCGCATTTGGCGCATCGACAGTTTCCACATTGACAGCACTTGTTGCCCTGGCAACAATCACCGCAGCCATTACAGCAACAGTTGCCGCAACGGCCACCGCAGCATCCGTTGTTTCGGCTGGTGCGAAATTCAGAGGGGTGCAAAAATATGACGTCACAGCTGTACCTTAGCCTGTATCTTCCTTTTTTCATGCATGCACATTCATCACATACTATCAACATTTTTAACTCATTTTCTATTTGGTAGTTTCACTAAGGAACTACTATAACTACCGCTTCAGCACTAACAACATTCATCACACAGTATTTAAGGCAAGCTACGGAGGAGCGTGAGAAAATTCTAACTTTCTTATCATTGGAATACACATGGAGCTGAATCAGGACGATGAAACTTTTGGTAAAAAGGGGGGGATGAGTCCTACGAGCATAGCCAGTTCAATATACTCAGTTCAGCTTGAGTCC